TTAACAAATTAAAACGAAAACAAGTGAAATAGCTCATCACATGAATGCTTCAAGTGGTTTCCCCAAATTCAACTGAAACTGCAACTTATAATGACTTCTACAGTCTAAAAAATTATTCTACCCCCTGAATGGAGTCCCTCAAAAAAGCACAAATATACAAAACAAGCACACCTGATGCAACTGACCAAGAGCTTCATTAGTTGTACCAGGTGTGCTTGATCTGGAACACTTAAAAATACCTGAACTGGCTAGGGGTTTATTGAGTGTCACATTTGACTGCGTGTTAGAAATATGGCTAAGCCAAAAGAATGGTCCACAAAGTTAAGAAAAGTGATCATCATCTTTACAAACAAGCAGCAGGATACAAAATATAACGAGTTTGCAAGTTCAAAGTTGAAGTAACAGTGGTTACACTACACGAACAGGGTAGAAAAAGGAAGCTATCAATGACTAGCGATGTCCCGAACGGTTCGCTGGCGAATAGTTCCTGGCGAACATAGCGTGTTCGCGTTCGCCACGGATGGCAAACATATGCGATGTTCGGTCCGCCCCCTATTAATTTACTAATACTAAGTAAAAATTACTTAGTATTAGTAAATTGTGCCCCTACTCGCAATACCGCGAGTAGGGGCATGTCTATTAAACAGTGAGCAGCCTGAACTTTCCCACGCTGTGTAAAATGACACAGAGCACTGTGATTGGATGGCTTGAAATCCATCCAATCACAGTGCTCTTTGTCATTTTACACAGCGTGTGATTGGATGGATTTCAAGCCATCCAATCACAGTGCTCTGCGTCATTTTACACAGCGTGGGAAAGTTCTTTTGAATTTTCCCACGCTGTGTAAAATGACAAAGAGCACTCTGATTGGCTTAAACCAGCCAATCAGAGTGTTCTTAGCCTAATTGCAGGGCATGGCAAGGCTTTATAAGCCTTCCCCCACCCTGCAGAGCTCAGTCTGCGCGGAGCCCTCCATGGGTGAAGATGGATTATTTTTTTGTGCGCTCGTTTTTTGTTTTTTTTAATTGTGTCGGTTCTTATGGCTTTTTATTTGGCCTTTTTTGGGGCTGAAAAAAGAAGATTGTAGAAGAAAGAAAACATCAAATGGTAAGTTATTTTTATCTTGTTTTTTTTTTTACAGGTTTTTAGTTAAAGGTCCCCCCCTCATTATTTTTAGGGTGAGGGGGGTAGGTAGGGAGATCATTTTTTTTGGGGGGGGGGAGGGGTGACTAGGGTCCCCCCCCTTTGTATTTAGGGCCCCCACCCACCGCTCAGGGTTGGGGGCCAGGGGGGACAATAGGTTATTGTTAATTTTAGGGCCCCACCCCCACCCACCGCTCAGGGGTGGGGGCCAGGGGGGACAATAGGTCCCCCCCTTATTGTTATTTTTAGGGCCCCCACCCACCGCTCAGGGGTGGGGGCCGGGAGGGGACAGTAGGTCCCCCCCTTATTGTTAATTTTAGGGCCCCCACCCACCGCTCAGGGGTGGGGGCCGGGGGGGGGACAGTAGGTCCCCCCCTTATTGTTAATTTTAGGGCCCCCACCCACCGCTCAGGGGTGGGGGCCGGGGGGGGACAATAAGTCCCCCCTTATTGTTAATTTTAGGGCCCGTGGGGGCCGGGGGGGACAATAGGTCCCCCCTTATAATTAATTTTAGGACCCCCACCCACCGCTCAGGGGTGGGGGCTGGGGGGGACAGTAGGTCCCCCCTTATTGTTAATTTTAGGGCCCCCATCCACCGCTCAGGGGTGGGGGCCGGGGGGGACAGTAGGTCCCCCCTTATTGTTAATTTTAGGGCCCCCACCCACCGCTCAGGGGTGGGGGCCAGGGGGGGGACAATAGGTCCCCCCTTATTGTTAATTTTAGGGCCCCCACCCACCGCTCAGGGGTCAAGGCTGGGGGGGACAATAGTTCCCCCCCTTATTGTTATTTTTAGGGGCCCCACCCACCGCTCAGGGGTGGGGGCCGGGAGGGGGACAATAGGTCCCCCCTTATTGTTAATTTTAGGGCCCCCACCCACCGCTCAGGGGAAGACAGTAGGTGCCCCCCTCATTATCTTTATGGCCCCCACCCGCCCAGGGCCCCCCCCTTCAACCACTATTGTGGCCAGAAAGAGTCCCTGTGGGTTTTAAAATTCGCCTGCCTATTGAAGTCTATGGCGGTTCGCCCGGTTCGCGAACATTTGCGGAAGTTCGCGTTCACGGTTCGCGAACCTAAAATTTTATGTTCGCGACATCACTATCAATGACTGCAACCAGATTTCTGAGAAGGCATATTGTGAAACGATTGTGACTGTTAAAGACATGCAGCATGACCTGTAGTAACAGGCACTGAGGTTTCCGTGAGCACATTAAGGCACGTACTAAACTCAGAAGGTTTCCATGCCAGAAATGAACAAAAAGCACTAGAAAAGTAGGCTTCTAATATGCTCAAAATCATGTAAATAAGCCACAGAAGTTTTGGGATTCTGTTCTGTGGAGCGATGAAACAAAACTGGAACTTTTTGGCCCAATGGATCAGCAGTATGTCTGGAGGAAGACAGGTTTCTCCTGGCAAAAATTTTGTTCAGGAGAAACAGCTTTCATTTCACATCAACTATTCATACATATAACAATTTATTATGAATAAATCTAAAAAGTGTGATAAATTAGGATAGTTTTTAAAAAACATTTAGTTTTGCGTGGCATTTTAACTGCGAATGCCATAATACTACTAGCTTTTACTACAATAAAATACACATATTTGTATTCAGTGATGTCTCACGAGTACAACAGTACCCCCATGAACAGGTTTTATGGTGTTTTTAAAAGTGACAGGGTCAAATGTAGCACATTCCATATTTTAGCTTTTTCACATTGAAATTTGCCAGATTGGTTACGTTGCCTTTGAGACCGTATCGCAGCCCAGGAATGAGAATAACCCCCATGATGGCATACCATCAGGGCCGGATTAACATAGGGGCTGATGGAGCTGCAGCTCCAGGCCCAGGCCCATGGAATAGGCCCATTGATTTTAAAAAAAAAAAAGTGTTTTTTTTTTTTTTTAAATTTTTTTCCCCACACACTACTCTTAAGGATTCCACCTGGCTTTTATTTTATTGGCACAGACAGTATTTGAGGCTGCCTGGCTGGTGCCAATATTGCAGTGATACTGGCAATATAAATGCTGGTGTAAATGGAGATTACTCTGCAATACCAGCACTGGCCAGTAGGGGTCACTGTATGTGGAGACAGGCAGGGATAGGAAGTTCCAGCATATCCCTCGCTGCCTATCTATACTCACTGATCTGCAGGGGTGCAGCTACAGAGAATCCAGACAGCAACTCCCACCCTGCAGAGACAGCCTACAGCTCAGGGAAGTAAGGGATGGGGGGAAAGGCTGCAAGGAGACATACACTGAGACACTAAGGAACACTGGGAGACATTATGGCAGACACTGAGACACTAAGGGACAATGGGAGACATTATGGCAGACACTGAGACACTAAGGGACATTGGGAGACATTATGGCAGACACTGAGACACTAAGGGACACTGGGAGACATTATGGCAGACACTGAGACACTAAGGGACATTGGGAGACATTATGGCAGACACTGAGACACTAAGGGACATTGGGAGACATTATGGCACAGACACATGGGGACACAGTGTCCCCATGTCTCCCAGCCAGTTTCCCTTGTGTCTCAGTGCCCCCTAGTCTCCCAGTGACCCCTAGTCTCCCAGTGCCCCCAGTCTGCCAGTGTCTCACTGTCTCCATGTCTCCTAGTGCCTCCATGTCTCTCAGCGCCTCAAGTGTCACAATGTCCCCAAGCTAGTGTCCCTAGTGTCTGTGGCCCTGGTGTCTCAGTGTCCCCATGTCTCCCAGTGCCCCCATGTCTCAATGTCCCCATGTCCCCCAGCCAGTGTCTCTAGTATCTTTGTCTCTGGTGTATGTGTCCCCATGTCTTCAAGTGCCCCCTATTTTCCCATTGTCCCCATGTGTCCCAGCCAGAGTCCCCTAGACTCTCAGTGTCACTGGTGTCTCCGTGTCCCTAGGTCTCCCCGTGTCCCCAGGTCTCCCCATCTTCTTAGTGTCCTAGTGACATGGGGACCCTGGGATACATGGGGACACAGGGAGACATGGGGCATTAAGACACTGATACATAGGATCACTGGGAGACCTGGGGACACGACACTAGGGGACACTGGGAGACATGGGGCACTGAGAAACTGATACATAGGAACACTGAGACCTGGAGTAATCGACACATGGGGGCACTGGGGTCATGGGGGCACTGGGAGGAATCCATCTATACAGCAGATTTAAACTAAGTAGTTTTTTGGTGATTTTACAGCATTTTCTCTTATGTCACTCCTTGTGATTTACATCATGTGATGTCACCCACACATATTTAATTATGCAAATTAGTAAGGCCGGTATGTTTTTCCAAGAAAGGTGGCAACCCTAACTACTTTTCACATACTCTTACTTAAGTATGGAAACTTAAGAGGGATGTATGGGAACAAAACTTGTGTGGACTGGCTGACAATGAATATAGTTAAAGGAACACTATAGTCACCAGAACAACTACAGCTTATTGAATTTGTTCTGGTGAGTAGAATCATTACCATTAGGCTTTTTGCTGTAAGCACGGTCTTTTCAGAGAACATGCTGTGTTTACATTACATCCTAGTGATAACTTCACTGGCCACTCCTTAGATGACTGTTAGAGATCCTTCCTGGGTCATGGCTGCCTAAAATGCATCCAAACATTCAGTGTCTCCTCCCTCTGCATGCAGACACTGAACTTTCCTCATAGAGATTCATTGATTCAATTCATCTCTATGAGGAGATGCTGATTGGCCAGGGCTGTGTTTGAATCATGCTGGCTCTGCCCCTGATCTGCCTCTTTGTCAGTCTCAGCCAATCCTATGGGGAAGCACTGTGATTGGATGCCTCCATAAATATAGCACAATCCTACTATATTCAAGCTTGAAGCTGTAACTCTGCATGCTGTTAGACTGAATAAAAACAAGCAGTCTGCTGACATCATTAGAAGTCCACTTCTAATGATGTCAGCAGACTGCTTGTTTTTATTCAGTCTAACAGCATGCAGAGTTACAGCTTCAAGCTTGAATATAGTAGGATTGTGCTATATTTATGGAGGCATGATGGGCCCAGGGGGTCTAGATGGTGGTGTTAACACTATAGGGTCAGGAATTCATGTTTGTGTTCCTGACCCTAAAGTGATCCTTTAAGGTAATGCTGACTTTGGTCTCTCTAACACTGTGGCATGTTCCCTTTCTTCTACACTCACTACATACAGCTTTTCTCTGTCCCAGACCATATACCAGGAGCTTCTGCCTGCTAGTAAGAAGCTAAGGAGACAAGTGGACCAGCGAGTGCTAGGGGACAGTCCTTAGAAAGTGTTGAGTGAGCGCATCATTAGATGCATTTATGCCAAGCTCAGGGTGCTGTCTGCATAGTATGCCCTTAGTTGGCCAGCTGCATGATTGGCAGGCAGCCTGATATGCATTCATGCCAGGCTGGCCTTCTAATTCTTTGAGCAGACATGTCCTCTTTTTGGGCATGTTCGCCCCTTTTGGCAGGTTATTTGATTTGTGTCAGTGGCACACCCTTTTACCATGCCCATTGACTTCCTGCTTGACTGGACACTGCTGTTAGGGGTTATGGATTTACTTTAAAGATGTAAACATAAATTAGAGAGAGATTAGCCTAGGGTATGTGTTTTCTTATAGCTGCTGTTTTCTTTCTCTACAGCACCATCTCCATCAGATACATGATGCTTGGGAGTGTTTTACTGTTTTTGGTCGATATGATCCTGTAATTAGGCCCGTCATAATTGTCAGCACCAGGCCCACTGGGCTCTTAATCTGGCCCTGCATACCATCTGCAAAAGTAGAGAACCCAGTGTATTCAATATGGGGTATGTGAAGTCTTTTATAGTAGCCACTTAATCACAAACACTGGCGGAAGTTAGAGTTCATATTTGTTGCTGTTTGAAAAATGTAAAAAACAAATATGAATGCTAACTTTGGTCAGTGTTTGTGACTAAGTGGCTACTAAAAAAAATTAATTGGGAACCCCTGCTATAGAGGAATACTTGGTAGGTATGCAGTTACAATAGAAAGTTACTGTGCTTCTAGGGTTTGTAATTAATTAACAAAGTAATCCAGGGATTTATGGTGCACACATTAGGCAAGGTTAGTTTTGCTATCCTTTTGTAGCCTTGGAAAAAAACCTCAATTGCATATAAGTGGTATGATTCTCCATGATCCATGATCTCAGAACTGAATACCTTAATTTTCCTTATATGAGTTACTCACTTCCAGGGGCATTTTAGCCATGAGGCAAACAAGGCATTTGCCTTGGGCGGCATTTTTCAGGGGGCATTTTTCAAAAAACGCCGCCCCCCAAATGCCCAGGGAAAATGTCTTGTTAGCCTCGCGGCTAACTGACATGCCGGGTGCCGGGCAGCGCTGGCTGATGGTCGGGCGGGCGGCTGGGAGCTGAGCAGACCGCTCAGAGGAAGAGCTCCCTCACAGGCCGCCCGCATGACCATCAGCCACTGGACCACCAGGGAGAGAGGGACCCCCCCAGCATTCCCAAAGGTAAGGAGGTTGGGGGGGGTAAATAAAAAAAAATGTGTTAATGTGAATGAGTGTGTGTCTGTTAGTGTGTGTCTGACTGTGTGTCTGTTAGTGTGTATGTGTGTGTCTGACTGTGTGTCAGTGAGTGTGTGTGTGTGTCTGCTAGTGAGTGTGTGTGTGTCTGTTAGTGTGTGTGTCTGTTAGTGTGAGTGTGTTTGCCTATGAATGTGTGTCTGTTAATGTGTGTGTGTTTGTTAGTGTGTGTGTGTGTCTAACTGTGTGAGTGTGTGTGTATGTCTGCTAATGAGTGAGTGTGTGTCTGACTGTGTGTGTCTGCTAGTGTGTGTCTGCTAATGAGTGAGTGGGTGTCTGTTAGTGTGTGTCTGACTGTGTGTATGTGTGTCTAACTGTGTGTCAGTGAGTGTGTGTGTCTGCTAGTGAGTGTGTGTGTGTGTCTGACTATGTGTGTGTCTGTTAGTGTGAGTGTGTTTGCCTGTGAGTGTGTGTGTCAGTGAGTGTGTGTCTATTAATGTGTGTGTGTTTGTTAGTGTGTGTCTGCTAGTGTGTGTCTGCTAGTGAGTGAGTTTGTGTCTGTTAGTGTGTGTGTCTGACTGTGTTTGTCTGTTAGTGTGTATGTGTGTGTCTGACTGTGTGTCAGTGAGTGTGTGTGTGTGTCTGCTAGTGAGTGTGTGTTTGCCTGTGAATGTGTGTGTGTCTGTTAGTGTGTGTGTGTGTGTCTGTTAGTGTGTGTGTCTGTTAGTGTGTGTGTTTGCTAGTGAGTGTGTGTCTGTTAATGTGTGTGTGTTTGTTAGTGTGAGTGTGTTTGCCTGTGAGTGTGTGTGTTAGTGAGTGTGTGTCTGTTAGTGTGTGTGTGTGTTTCTGTTAGTGAGTGTATGCGTATCTGTCAGTGAATGTGTGTGTGTGTGTATTTTGAAGGCTTGGGGGGGTCTGGCGTGGGGGGGGCGCCTGAGTTTTGTCCTGCCTAGGGCAGCACAAAACCAGGATACACCACTGCTCACTTCCACTAATCATCTGTGGGTCCTGCTTGTATCGTCAGAGGCAACTGCAGAATCGAAACCCAATATATTATAACAGTACATTCCCTAACAAACAGTAAATTACAAACATGTGATATTAATAACTGAATTCCCATGAATTACTGTGGCTGTGTATTGTTAACCATGAAATACATGTTGCTTATGGTTATCTTTTGAAAAAACGTTATTTAGCTCTGACCACCCCTGGCAAGCAGCAATGGAGCAGCTCACCAGAAAATAAATCTTTATTCTTGGACCCATAGAAAATTTAAATGCAGTCAGTGCTATTGATTTGTTGATGACCATTTCAAGTTCATACATTAAATCTAATACTTTATCTGGTCTAGTGTGTGATCTCACGCTGTTTGCAATGTTCGTGCAGTCTTTGCAAACTAACAAAGATGTGGTTATCTAAAAATATTAGTATGGAAACCTTAATTTGTAACATGTCTAAGGTCTATGTGTAATGTCAACTTGTGGTTTGAAGAAGGTTTCTCTGCCATAATTTCATTTTTTTTTCACTTATAGAATTGTGCACGGGGAACAAATTTAGTTCTGCTGCATCACACTGTAAGCATCACCAGTGGCCCATCCAAATTTAAAGGTGCTTTGATTTGTTGATGTCAAGTAATCTGGTCAACTTCGTGCAGTCTTTGCAAACTAACAAAGATGTGGAGTATGGAAACCTTAATTTGTAACATGTCTAAGGTCTATGTGTAATGTCAACTTGTGGTTTGAAGAAGGTTTCTCTGCCATAATTTAATTTTTTTTTCACTTATAGAATTGTGCACGGGGAACAAATTTAGTTCTGCTGCATCACTTTGTCCAAAAATAAAATGTAGTTTATTTTCTTTAATTTTAGGTAGTCTGATATTTGTCCATGTGGGTGTTTTGCCTTGTCCAAATATTATCCATACAAAATATTTGTGAAAACATTTCAGACTAACCAAAATGATGTAAAAAGGGCCAATCTGAGTACTGCAAAATCGATGCATAATATAAATATTATGTATATATTTTGATGTACACATGCACAGTATCTCACCATTTGGTTCCCTAATCAAGTGAGAAAAAACAACTGAGGAGGATCAGTAAATAAATCTAGAATTAATATATTTTTACTGCGCCTCCTTTTTTCCTCTATTGGTCTCATAACTTGCTGTCTGACTAAAATCATCATGTGGGGGGCATGGTTTCGGCAGTGCAGAGAGCAGACGCATGGCACCGAAACCCAGAGTGAAAAGCGAGCAAACCACTGTATGCAAACTAGAAGACCCTACAATCCTGAAACATTTCCAATATAGTCCCCTTTGTCCACCATGTTGCCATGGGCATGGGCTGCTATAGTGTGTGGCCTGTTTGGGCAATATGATGTTGTTCTCCCTCTGTAATAAGTGGGGGGAAATTATTAACAGCCACACTGTATGCCAATGAAGTGTTATTGTGTTCTAATACAGGGATTCAAGCCCCATTCTACCCTTAGGCAATAATGGAGTCCTCTGTGAAGCACATGGCCTTTCACCAGGCAAAACCAGTTGGGTTGTTGATAAACTCCTCCTCCATTCCCTTCCAGTGCAACCTCCATTCCCCCAGGAGGCACTCTGGTTCTGTTACATCCTAAGGGATTGACTGAGGGAGATGTGTCCAGCAGAAGGAGGGACTAACCTGTTAAAAGCCCTGTGAATAGCACATTCTCTCTTTGAATTCACCCTCCTCACCCTCTTTCCCTATTCCCTCTCCCCACTATACACACCCTCTCACTCTTACTCTCAGCTGGTGATCAATGGAGTGGTAGCTGTATCAAGTGTCTATGCCTGTTTTATTATGTTAATTTAGTCTACTTTCCATTTAACCAATGACTGGTTTTGGTAGCAACATTTACTAGCCTATTTCAAATGTATATGTATTGTTTATTTGTTTGATTAGCCTCTTGATGAATATTATTGAATTACCAAAAGCAAGGAGTGTTGACTATGACTTTACACTCGGTTTTTAAGTTATTAATTTTAGTTATTAACCCCTTCCCGACCCAGGACGGTTCAGGACCGTCATCGGCATTTTTGGCTTGCCGACCGATGACGGTCCTGAACCGTCCTAACGGTCTGAGCTACTTACCTGATCGCCGTCGTTCCCCCGGCGGCGATCAGCGTGGTTCCGGTTGTGGGGAGACTGCCTGCAGCCCAGACAGTCTCCCCACACTGAATTAGGACCCCTGGGGCCATGTGATCGCTTAACACAGCGATCACATGGTCACAATAGGTGTCCATGTGTCTGCCTGCAGGGGGACTGCCTGTGCTGACAGGCAGTCTCCCTGCATGTGTAAAATCATAAAAATAAAAAAAACAATAAAGTTAGTGTTAATAAAAAAAAATAAAACAAAAAAAAATTAAAGTTAGTGTTAATAAAAAAAATTATTATATATGTGTATATATGATATATAGACATATATTATATCT